TATATCCTCATATGAAATAAACCATGTAATATTTAATCTTGTGTGTATGGCTTAGTTCTGTTAACATTATGTTCTCAAGTTGTATTCAGTTACCTATGAAGGCCTTAAGTCTGTTTTTCTTTATGGCAAAGTACTATTCCATTGTGTATAAATACCACATTTTCCTTATCTATTCATCTGTTTCCATATATCTCCATTTACTAAATGTCATTTACTAAACTAAAATTAAAATGAATCAAAGATCTAAATATTAGAACAGAAACACTTAAATTACTGGAAGATAAAATAGGTACAACTCTTGAAGTCATAGGCATAGGCAAGGACTTTCTGAACATAACCCCAGTAGCACAAGAAATAATACTGAGAATCAATAAATGGAAACATACCACATTAAAAAGCTTCTGGACAACAAAGGAAACAACCAACAGAATGAAAAGACAACCTACAGAATAGGACAAAGTTTTGGCCAGCTATTCCTTCAACAAAGGACTAATGTCAAGAATATATAAAGAAGGAAAAAAATTATACTATAAAAGACCCAAACAAAAAATGGGAAACTGAAAAGAATAGACATTTGTCAGAAGAAGAACAAATGGCCAATAAGTACATGAAAAAATGCTCAACATCATTGGTCATCAGACAAATGCAAATTAAAACTACACTGAGATACCACCCAGAAAGAACAGCTACTGTCAAAAAATCAAATAATAACAAATGCTGGCGTGGCTGTGGGGAAAAAGGAACCCTTCTACATTGTTGGTGGGAGTGTAAACTCCACTAGGGAAATCAGTCTGGAGATTCCTCAAAAAACCAAAAGTAGAAGTTCCATTTGGCCCAGCTGTTCCCCTTGTAGGCATCTCCCTCAAAGAGTTAAAAGCATCACACCACAGTGATATGTGCACACCCATGTTTATAGCAGCACATTGTATAATAGCCAGATCTTGGAATCTGCTCATTTTAATTACATCATGTTCCTTCTGTAGTTGAGATTCATACATATTATTGTTATATTGTGCTTTCTTTCTCTCCATGTGTATATACAGTGATGCCTCAGTTGTTGAGCAGCTCCAAGCTCAAACTTCTGACTACTCAAAAAGCAAAATTCAAAGAAACTATGCTCAGTGTTTGTAACATTGGATGGTCCAATAGAAAACCCGACTTGAAAAAACAGTATGGCCTGAGAGGGGGTCATTCATCGCATATCGCTGCAGACAGAAAGGGGTGATGCTTGTGTAAGTGCCACTCTCGCCCACACAATTTTTTAGTGAGAAAAGGTAAAAAAGACAAAGAGCAAAGACTCCATGGTGTACTGCCAACAGTCATTTCAGAAGGAGACTCTGCTTGCAAAAAGCATTTCTCCTCCTTCTCCAATTTCTCTCTGGTTTCCAGTATACCAGGAAGCCTCCAAGTCAAGGTAAAGTACAGTGCCAGTATAAAATTTTTTAAATTTTATTTACTGTATTGTGTTTTGATATTTAATGTATTACAAATGACACTGAACATCTGTTCATTTGCATGTCAACCATTTGTTCATCTTCTCTGGAAGAAAGTCCATTGAAGTCAATCTGGGTTTTTTGTAGTTGTTGTTGAGTTATAGAAGTCACTTGTATGTTTTTTATATCAACTACTTGTTGCATATGGAATTTTCAATTATTGCTTTCCACTCCACAGGTTGCCTTTTTAATCAGTTGGTTTTTTGAATCAACAGAGGTTTTTAAGGCT